ATTTCTTAACAACACACTGCAGCTCAAAATCCCATCCTCATACAGGTCTTTGCAAGCCACAAGCATTTAAGACCCTCCTCAAATTGTGTTAGAGAAAGAGTAGCCGAAGAAAAGGTGATCTTTTGTCTCAACATCACTACTAGAAAAACACACACCTCATCAACCATCATGCTAAAAAGAATGAGCCTATCACTCGTGTTAAGCCTCCCAAAATGGCCAACCAAACAATGATAGCATGTTTTGGCAAATGGAATGAGAACCAAACCAGTTTGTACCAAGAGACCCTATCCTTTTTGACTATAATATCCAACTATAACCTCCGAGCATTCAAAGTATACAGGTTAGCAGAAGCAAGAAAAAGAGGATGAACCTCGTCATGAAAAGAAAGTAACTTTCTCAAACACCTACTCATAGACCCCTTAGGTATCATATGCCATAAATCCTGACCCTTCAAAACGTATGCATGCACTCAGGCAACCCACATAGAGCCCTCATTCATGAGAAGTTTCTTAATTAATTGGAAATGACAAGCCCTATTCCAACTTCCCAACTCCTTCAAACTAATACCACCTTCAGTTTTAAAGGAGCAAACAAGATGCCAACCTTAGCACCAACAATAGCAGTATCCAAGCCCTTCCAAAAAAATCTCATACAAAGCCGATCGATTCTTTTCATCACGACTTTTGGAAGAAAAAAGTGCCCCCACTCGTAATTTGTAATGTTGAACAAGATCCAACGAATCAACTTCAACCTACTAGCAAAACTCAAATTTCTATTAGCCCAATGCCCCAATTCATTCTGGCCAAAAGACGATAGTAATCTTTTTCTTCCAATTTCCTAGTAACCAAAGGCACCCCAAGTATCTCATAGGAGGGAACCAATCTTGAAACTTGGCCTACATTATAACATCCAAGTCCACTTAAAGAACACCCGATGAAAAGAATTCACTTTTCTCAGCATTTAACCACAACCCAGACATAAAGTAAAACCTATACAAAACGTATTGCATACCAATAACATAGTCAATGGTCCCCTTGGAGAAAATAAAAAGATCGTCAGCAAAACAAAAATGTGTGAGATTAACCTTCTTACACTTTGGGTGAAATTGAAATGTACCATTACCAACAACAACATCAAGCATCCTTGACAAAATATTCATTGCCATGACAAACAAATAGGGAGACAAGGGATTCCCTACCGAATCTCCCTAGCTCCTCGGAAGTAACCCACAAAGCTTCCATTAAATGCAACAGAAAAATGAGCAGTGGTCAAGTAAATCCGAATCCAACCTGTAAACTTTTCAGGCAGTCCCATGGCCTCCAACACAGCTAAGATAAACCTCCAGTCCAGACTATCAAAAATCTTCTGCAAATCCACCTTCAAAGCACACCTAGGAGACTAGCATAATCCTTAACCACCTCCTCAACTAAGAGAATATTATCCACAATACTTATTTTAAAACAAATTGGGCTGACTTTGATCTTTCGATTTTTTGAATAGGTATATATTATGTCTGAAAAAGCCCTAAAATTGGCCCAATTCTTAAACCCCTATTGCCTAACCATACGCAAAACCCTCATTTCCAGAACTCAAACCCTCATTTCCAGAACTCAAACAAACTCACAGCAAGTGTCAACAGCCATTCTAATTTCCGGCCAAATGTCCAGGTTGTGGCGCGGTCTGAGAACGGCGGTCAAAACATCATCGGCGAACTCCCATCATTACCATACTATCCAAGCCATCCCTAGAGAATGCACCGGCAGCCGTATCTCTAGCCGCGATAGATTCCAAGGTAGAATCCCCGCCGTAGTTTTCTCTCAGTGCTTGCTCGAGAAAAACCCAAACAACCTTTCTCCGTCAAGGAAACAACTTTTGACTACCGAAGGAAAGCAAATTCGATCCATTATTAAATCGGTTGAACTCCCTTTCTTTTGTTCCACGACGTTCCAGCTCCAGATCCGGGCCGGTTCTGGGTCTTCAGTCTTACTTGAATCCGGGAGAGTTTTACCTATCAAGGCAAGTTTTTTTTTCTTCAGTTTTAAAATTTTTAGCTTTTATTGTTACCCAAGTTCAAATTTGTTTGTATTTTTGGGTTGTTTTATAGATTCATAGGGACGAGGAGACTGGTAAAATATTGAATTTGGTGTTTGTTTGGGCGGATGAAGGGACTGAGCTGAAGATTGACGTGCCTGTAGTTTTCAAAGGACTAGAAGATTGCCCTGGCCTTAAGAAAGGTATAAAATTTACTGCAATTGTCCCCATTTCATCTTTGGTTGATCGATGTTAATATTATCCAAGATTTATACTTTTACTATGTGATGTCCATTTTCTTGTCCACTGCACCATTTAGATGAAATTGTGTTTTTGGGCAGAAACTATCCGAAATTGTTGGGTAAAGTAAGTATGATTTATTATTTGGCATACCCTAAGTGGAAAAAATAATTTTACAAGCAGTCTTAAATGTTGACAAGTATACTTCAACTATTTTTGAAATTTGAAGTTTAATTAAACATGGCACTTGTCATTATCTTAAGACAGCTTGTGGAATTCTTGTGAAATTCCACTGGGCGTGTACCAGATAATAATCCAGTAAGTTATTAGATATCTGTTTTTTTTTGTTTTAGAAAGTTCAATAGAAAAATAGTAAGGCGTTATCAAGTCTTCCTTTGTGATCATACTCAGTACGGCACAATGGTCACCTGGTAGTCGGTTATGTTGAAAACTTTCTTTGTTTTTCCTTGTATTTAGAGAGTGCTTGGAAGGTCGTATTTCCCTACTTATGTTGAAAATGCATCACATGGTTCTTCTTGTCTCTTTGGGACAGAATAAAGGCTTTGCTTGGTATCAAGGATGGAAAAATTGTTAATCAAATAGCTAAGATTCAAAGTAAGAAAGTGTTTATGTATCTTAACCATTTGATTAACAAATTCTCCATCTTTGGTACCATGCAAAGCCAAGTTGTTTTCTTACTAGGGATATGTAGAAAAAGTTGAAATGAATAAGTGACATTATCCTGGGAATCTTTTGTTGTTTACATGTAGGCACCTTCCTGGATATGTGTTGTATATGATTTTGAAACTTCTGGTTTTTATAAACCACATCTTTAGCGTTGTTATGGATAATTGGTTAGATGCTACAATTAGTTTTTCAGTTTTATAGCATCGAAATTTGTTAAATACACGTTAATGTTTTGTCCTTATTTCTTATCGAACTCATGTATCATTAGCCTTACCAATTCCTGGAGCTTTGCTTGTTGCTATCCACTTACTCTCTTTTTCATTTAATGCCATCATAAGTGTCTTTCCTCGCATTTAACCTTTTCGGGGTTGCACTAAATGATGTTATTGAATATCTCATTGCAAGCGGAAATGCACAAGAATGTGAACAGGCATACGGTGTCTCTTTACCATTTAATCGTGGCCTACTTATACCCTTTACTTATTTTCTTGTTGGGAACTAGCATGTAAATCAGACAAACAGGAATACTTACCAGTTTCTTAATGCAAGCTTTCATGTTGGTTATGGGGAAACCATGTGATGCACATCTTATTATCATTCCCCTTTTCCTTATTTAAATGTGGATTTACATGTATATCTTTCATTGGATTTTTGGGTGCTTAATCTCATTTAAGATTTTGACAGTCAGATTATATGAGTCATATGACAAACACCATTTGATGATACTTGATACCATAACAGGTGGTCACTTTAATATGACAAGAAGTAGTCTAAAGTTTCAATGCCCGGCAGAACACATTCCCCAAAAGATCGAGGTGGACGTGAGCAAATTAGATATTGATGATAGAGTGTTGATGCATGATATCGAAGTTCATCCGTCCTTGAAGCTTCTAAGCAAGAATGAAAGCATGCCTATATGTAAGATTGTGCCGACATATTCTGCAAATCCGGAGCCCATGAAGGTATAGCTAAAGAAGCATGAGTCAAAACCAGAGATGCATACCCTCATTAGATGAAAATAACAATTCTTTGATTTCTTGATATGGTGCTTTGTGATTTTCCAAGAGACAATAAGAAAGTATTTCAAACTGAGCTCGTGCCTTCAGCTGTTTCAGACCTTGTTTCAAAGTAACATTTAAGAGGAATTGGTTCCTGTGAAATGGTTCGTCTATTATTGTAGATTCTGCAGAATTTTAGTAGTTTTCTGCACCTGGTTTAGATGAGTTACAGATTCTGATACTGAAAATTTTGTTCATCATATACATTTTCATGATTGTTTTGGATGTTGACGCCAACTTATCTCTGGTGATTGTATTTGAGCTCTTCATTTGCCCCCTAAAAAAGTAGTGGAGTATATTCATATTAGATGAATATCCATGTCATGTGTACTGTATGATATGCATATATCTAACCAAAAACTCACCCCTTCGTCAAATGATTGTTTTTAAATCCATTTCGACCTGTTCGCATCATTTAGAAACAAACAAAAATAATTAATTTTATAGTTAATAATGTTATATATTTTTATTTTTAAATTTATTTTATACCGTTTTAAATATGTGCATCTTAACATATTTTTAAAATTTTAAATTATATTAGTATTATTATTTAATAGTCTTGGTGATTGTTTTGAATATTTATTAACTATTAATAATTTACACGTTCTACGTAGTTTCTTAAATTTAATATTTTCAATGAAAAAATTATTTCTTTCAACTATCTAAGACAGTTAATAAATTATCATATTGGTTTTAAATAAATTATATATATATGAATAAAATAATATAACATATTAGAAGTTGAGAAAACGAATTTAAACCAATGGCCCGACAATTAGTACCAGAAGTAAAATTAATTAAAAAGTGTTTTTAGAGGTAATAATAAAACCATTGAGAAAAGCAAAGATATTAGTATTATTAAGCTCTTTAAAAATAGAAAGGATTCTGTTATGAACCGCGTAATGTTTGATAAAAGGGAAAAGAACCGAATTTTTAAACCAAAAAACTCCATTGCCAATGCCATCCAATCCTTTGGAACGTTATTATCCCCCGCGCAATGCTTTTGTTATCCGTGGATTTTCATACCCTTATTTTTTTCATTTCGAATTCGAATCATTTCTCCTGATTTTTCAGAATGATTTCTAGCCATGCGTTGGTTTCAGAATATTTCCTTTTCGTCTTCGTCTGCGTCTGCGTCTTCGTCCCCCTCCTCGTCGAGGAAACATACTGAAGATAAGAATAACCAGGGCAATCAACGTCCCAGATCTCGTTACTACTTGGGATTTCGCATTGCCACTAATAGGTTTAGAAGGCAAAGGGAGCCAAAGAGTCTAAGCGACCAGGAGGTTCATCATCAGAACGAGGAAGCGGTGGTTTCGCAGCACTCCGGTGGTGGTAGCGATGCTCCGTTGTCTCCTCCGCGGGCTTCGAAGTCATCGACGTCGTCTTCTTCGTCGGCCTTAGCTGTGCCGTTGCCGCTTCCGCTTCCGCTTCCAGATGGAGACGGAGAGCATAGGTTTCCGTCGCCGAGGGAGGCTGGGCATTGTAAACATTTAGAGGATAGAGATGTAGAAAAAACAGATGAAACTAATCCTTTGGTTTCAAGGTAATCTTTTTTATATTTCTTTAATTAATATTTACTTCCATGAAATTGTTATTTAATTTTGAGTTAAGTATACATTTGTTATATGCTAAAAGAATACATTTTTTTATATTTAAATTAGAATCTAAAATATTTAAAGTTTTACATAAATTAAACTGTTTAAGTGATTGAAAGAATAATAGTTATTTCAGATTTAAGCAACAAAGGTTGTAGAAATAATTTTCAAATTTTTATTATCAAATCACCTTTAAAACAGACACAATCACTCGTAAAGATGATAGGTTAATAAAAAAATTAAAAATTCTTAAGACGAGCAAAAGGAGAGGAGAAATCCACCTGCATTTGTTACCTGTCAGAATAAAATCTGACTCTAACCTATTTTAAATTCAATTTTCTTTTCTTAAAAATTTTATAAGGTAAAGTCAGAATAAAACACAAGATTTAAATATTTTGATTATTTTTATATTATTAAAATATAATATAGTTTTATTTGAAAAGTTAATATCTTTAATAAAGAAAAATGTTAAATAAATAATATCTTATATATTACAGTGGGCTTGCAAGTGCTCCGACGAGTCAGATTGTGAGTCCTGCTGCTACCCCTACCCCTCAAAGAATGAGTGTTGCCGATGTGTTTCCGCGTTACATGGCTCCTACAGGTAATCAAGTTTGGTCCGCCCCGGAGATTACCGGATTAGATGTTGCAGGGCTTCCTCCACGAAAATCCCATGAATACAATGCATTTACCTCCGATAGTACTTCACTTCACAGTCCACCGAATCGGAGTTCCCCTCGAAGGAGTAGTTATAGAAGCCAAAGTGGACCTCCTTCGCCTATACATCCGAATCGGTTGTCACTTGAGACTGCTGACATCTCATCGCTGCGACTTGAAAGTAATGGCCCTATCTCTGTTCCTTTACCTCTTCCTCCAGGAGCAGGATTGGCTTCCACACCAGCCTCCATGCCCCATGTTGCTCATAAACCAGAGTCTTTGCCGATAAATTCTCGATGGCAAAAGGGCAAACTTATTGGTCGTGGTACATTTGGAAGTGTTTATGTTGCCAGTAACAGGTATACCGTGTAAAATTTCTCTCTGTGCCATCTAAAGACTAAAATGGCTTCTTGTCTCTGATAGAGAAACTGGAGCTTTATGTGCAATGAAGGAAGTTGACATATTTCCAGATGACCCAAAATCTGCAGAGTGTATAAAGCAACTGGAGCAGGTTTTTCTGCCAAAAAATTTACATTTCTTCATTCCAGGGAGATAGAAGTGATGGTTACGTATAGCAGATTGATTTTTTTAATGAGTCCTAAGTCGTAACTACATTCTTTATTGCAGGAGATCAAGGTTCTTAGCCAGCTCAAGCATCCAAATATAGTACAGTATTATGGTAGTGAAATAGTAAGTGCCTACTGCATGTTATGAATTTCACCTCTCCTTTTGCTCGTCTTAAGTTCTTAAGAATTTCCATTAAGGAATACAAACTACCATATGCAGGTGGAAGACAAGTTCTATATATATTTGGAGTATGTTCATCCTGGTTCAATTAATAAATATGTTCGAGACCATTGTGGTGCCATAACTGAATCTGTTGTTCGCAACTTTACTCGCCATATTCTTTCTGGGTTGGCTTACCTGCACAGCACAAAGACAATCCACAGGTACAAAGCACTGCCCTAATCTGTGGGTTAAAAACAGCCTATTAAAGTATAATAGTTAGTGACATCTACTTTCTTTCCTATTCAAATTTTAAACATGGAAATACTTCTAGTTTGAGGAGGAGTATTCTATAATCAAATATTGGTGGTTTAATATGCTGTTTACATTTTATATTCAGGGATATAAAAGGAGCTAATTTGCTAGTTGATGCATCTGGAGTTGTCAAGCTTGCTGACTTTGGGATGTCCAAACATGTAAGTTTCACATCTTCCCCCTCTTTGAATTCGACACATCCTAGCTACAGATAAGACATCTGTAATTGTAACCATTAGGATCATGTACTGCAATTCATCCCCACAATTTCAATCCTTTACTGAAAGTCATTGCAATTAATCCCCACAACTGCAATATTTTATTGGACAGTTTAGTTAAATATAAAAGAAGTAGCGAATATAAATGGACATAAGCACAATTGAAGCAGACAAATTAGATCTTTGTATGAAAACTCGAGTTGACAAGCTTGATATAGCAGATGTCGTCGTCATCATAATCATAATTCGTTAGTTGTTATTTTTCTGATTCAGCTTGAATATTTCTGTATCGGTTTTGTTGCACAGCTTTCTGGACAAATAGCTGATCTATCTTTGAAGGGAAGCCCTTACTGGATGGCTCCAGAGGTACCATCTCGCAGTTATATAATTATATGATATCTGTATTTTAAACATACTGACACCACTCATTTCCCTACAGCTCATGCAAGCAGTGATGCAGAAAGATAACAGTTCCGAGCTTGCTCTAGCTGTTGATATTTGGAGTTTGGGCTGTACAATTATCGAGATGTTCACTGGTAAAGCCCCATGGAGTGAGTATGAAGGGGTAAGCACCTGATTCACATTTTGAGCATCCCAACTTCCCACTATTGCATGAAACAACATCAGAGGCCAGTTAGACTTATCTTCCAATCATTAAAACTTAAGAGTGCCCTAATCGTGTGCATGGAAGGACAAGTTCAGTTGCCAACTTCTCTGTGTTCTCTTTGTTAATGCAGGCTGCCGCTATGTTTAAAGTGATGCGAGATACTCCTCTCGCACCTGAAACATTATCATCTGAGGGGAAGGATTTCCTGTGTTGCTGTTTCAAAAGAAATCCTGCAGAGAGACCATCTGCAAGCGTGTTACTCGAGCACCGATTTGTTAAAAGCCCACAACAGTCGGCTGGCTCATCAAGCGCCTCATCCTATAATGGGATAAAATTCATAGTAAACAAGAATGCATACCCTTTTGTTGTCATTGGCTTATAATTGTTTATGTAATAATTACTTTAATAATTGCAGGATGCTCCCCTTGGTCCAGGTGAGCGATCTGAATTTAAATTGGCTCAATTACCGGTGCAACCAAGCTTGCAATGTTCAAAACCTGTGACGCCTGACGGGTAAGAGTTACATTTTGACAGCTTTGAAACTTGGCACTTTCTGCAACTTGGGATTTGCATATTGTGGCTTCCGAATTCGATCGAAATGATTTTTTTTTCTAACCGTCTATTTCAGCTTCATGAATTATTCTTTTTCTCCAGTGAGACTGCACAACGATATCATTACAAGCATTGTGATGTAACAGTGGCACCCCGTTGTTCTCCTCGTTCAACCCCTGAGGTTCCACCTAGTTTGAATTCCCCATCATCCAGCACTTATGGTACCGTTAATAGATCTAACAATCAGGAGTGTAGGACGAACCATATGTTCGGATAACATCGAAGAAACGAAGAAAGGCTGTGTATTATTTTCAAGGCTTCTCTGATCAGGCAGCTTCAAGCATTGCATTGGAGACCAAAAACGAAGAATGTGGTCCGATGTGTAACCGTGGAGAACCAAGCCTCCCTACCTGATCGATATCTTCAATGCCTTATCATCGAAGTTTCCGATGCCGTTTCATCATGGAAGCATATCCAGTAACTAGTTATTTTTATTTTATAAATTATTGACTATTTTTTTTTCAAAGCTTCCAAAATTGTGAAAGCTCTTTTTTCCTTTTTCAAACCTCTTTTTTTCTTTATTTTCCTACAAGACAATACAAGTGATCATTAAAAACACTAATTTTAAACACTAAAATACATAGTAACAAAATTTTTTAGTCGTCACTAACAACTATGTCAATATTACATTAGTGACAATTATTCTAAAAACTATCACAATTGTTCTTTTTTTTTGATTATCTATTCGGCACAATTATAAATATAAATTGTGATGAATTTTTTTATACTAAAAATATATTTTGTGACCATTAATATTGTCACATTAATTATTTTTAGTGACCAAATGTTCGATATTATTATCAATAGAAATTTTGATAAATTTATTTGACACTGAAAGTATATTTTGTAACCACCAATGTTGCCATAGTAAATGTTCAGTTATATCAAAGAATTGTTCTAAAATATCTCGAATTTTTTCAAGCTTCTCTCATTTTTTTCAATGTTTGGACAGTGACAAAAAGAAGAATCAACAACAATCATTTGCTTCACGATATAAAATAGCCATATCAAGCATCATGTATGCAGAGTTCCATCTTGTAGGAACATCAAACCACAATACTTTAGTTTCTTCTATCTTGGTTAATTTCACACTATGTCAAAAAACTTTTTTTTTTGTTTATAACCATTTGATATACTTCTCACATTCTTTTATCTTGACAACAATATGTTCAATGACCTTAAGATCATACTTAACAATGAGATTCAACACGTGCAGCACATCAAACTTGAAAGTAAGCCCCTTCACATAATAAAACCCCTTGAGCATTAAAAGTTTCCTTCAAGTGATCTTGTATTTTATCATTACTAGAAGCATATTAGAGGTTCTATAATGTGAGTTACAAATAAAGGAAGCAATCTTACAATGTTTGCAAAGTTCCCTCTCTTTCCATCATTAGTCTCTGTGGAATTAATAACGAGAACATGTTTCCAAACCTGACTTCGTCTCTTAGAAAAAGGTTGTAATTCTGCTACAACATTATTGGTATCACTTGGAACCTCACATGCATTAACATTAGATTTCATGACTGCAAAAGCAAAGAAAAATATTATTAGTATTAAGTTAAACTTTACATGCACGTCAAAGACACATAATGGATCACACAAATATATTAATAAACATGTAATAAATACACATATATTTCTATTAATAATATAGAACAAAAAAATCTGAATAGAAATTTTTTAAATAAATAATATACTACGATATAGAAGTATACCTAGATTCGCGTAGAATAAGTCTTTTTTCAAATAAGAATTTTTCTCGGTTGACGAATAAGATATTCGAATTAGCGTGAACGAGATATACAATAAGATAAAAGATATTGACGTTACCATTTTAATTACCTAAAACAATTACACTTAAATTTTTTAATAATAATTATAGTATAAAGTAATATTAATTTTTAGAATAATAATAATGATCGTAACAGATTTTAGTAATGAATTAATAGTGATAATTGTAAATAATAATGAAAATAATAAAGTGATATGATATTAAAATAACTAACTAAAGAAATTAAATTAAAGCGAATCTTAAAAAAAAGTGAAATATAATGTATTTGGAAATTGGAAGTTATCGGTTAAGGCAACAAGCAATACTAGGGTAAAGTGTTTGCGCAACAAGGTAGGAGGAGTTGGACATTGGGTGAAGAGGTGACTGCGCACGACAGTTGGAACTGGTAGGAGTTGAGTGACGATTAAAACTAACATGATTGAGCGATGACAGAGGAAATTCTTGAATTTTGAATTTCTTGAGTTAAAGAAAAACACCATACTTATATATAGTATTTGTAAATAATATATAAAATAAATTCTATATAAATAAAATTATACTTTAACCTAAATAGTTAGGTTTTTTTATTTTGAATATATATAAGGATGTTTACTTTAATTTAAATGATAAAAGTTATTTTGAATAATAAATTAATTTAAATAAAATTGGTAATTTATTAAAAAATATTAGATTTATAATAAAAAATAAAAAGTTTAAGAAGAATATAAAGTAAGAATCTAATTGTAAGATTGAAAATGGTAATAAATAAAGTTTATTTATCTTATTTGTAATAAAAATATTAGATTTATAATAAAAATAATAGAAAACGACTAAACCAAAGGAGATACTATTAGATTCATAATAAAAATAATATAAAATTTACTTATTTTATGACTAAAACTTAACAAATAAAATTATTTTATTATTTTTTAAAATTAATGAAAAATATTAAATTTATAATTGGTATTAAAAAATTTAATAAAAACTTATTTCTTTATCTAATAGTTTTGATTATAAACTTTTCATACGAGATTAATATAAAAATTTGATAACAAATTCTAACACGTATTATAAGATCATATTTGTATCAAATTATCGATTTATCATCTCTAAATGATGGTTTAATTCAAAATATTGAACGATTAAGAATTGTAATTAGGCCAAAATGATAAGATTAACGAACAAAAAGATATATTTTTACAATAATATATCAATAATTCTATATATACTTGATTATTTATTAGACTCATAACCAATTCAACCCAAATTGACTTGATCTAAAGGTTGACCTAAACCGAAAATCAACCGATTCAATATTGACCCGACCCAAAATCTAACCGATATGGTATTAACTCGACCCAATAATCAACCGATCTGATATTGATCTGAACCAAAAATCAACTGATTCCAATAATCACCCGACCCAAAAATTGACCCCCGATTTACCGTACACCCGAACTAGATCTGAGCTAGATCTGATCCGATCCGAACAAAATTAAATCGAATATAATATATATCCGAAATTACTCGACCCAAAATGACCCGACCCAAACCCGATCCTAATGATCCGTTTTCCACCTCTAACTTATTGTGAGAATTTAATTATGAGAAAAATATTATAATCATATTTATTACTATAACAGTGATAAAATAAAAATATATCACACTTATTTTTATTAATAGTGTCGTATACAATTTTTATCACCAAAAGTTTAATATTTGTGACAAAATTACTGATAATCACTATCAATTTGTCAGTAAAAATCTTTATCTTGTATCGATACTTGTGACATAGTTTAAGATTGTCACAAGTATACTATTATAAAATGGTAAACTTACTAGTAAAAAATATTATTGTCACGATTACGAATAATAAAAGTGATCACTTAATACGTTATAACTATTACATCGTTTCTTGTTTGAAAAAGGTTATATCAATTCAAGCATTTTATTAGTTACTAAATATAAGTAAGACACAACTATTCACTTCAATAGTGATAAAAACACTTATCGTCACAAATCACCAACTAAGACTAGTGATAAAAACAATTATCGTCACAAATCACCAACTATGATTAGTGACAAAAACCATTATTGTCACAAATCACCAACTAAGACTAGTGACAAAATGTTTTCATCATAATTATGAATAGTAACAGTGACTACGTAATATATTGTCACTATTACAATTTTTCCAACGAAAAATAAGTTGGTGTCAATTCTACTATTTTATTAGTGATCAATTGATAATGACAATTTGCTTTGGTCATAATAAAACACTATTATTGACAAATTACTTGTGATTAGCTTCAAAGTTGTCACAGTTATTATATAAAGTGTGACAAAATTAAAATAAGTCACAATTGCTTATTTCAAAAGTGACAAAAATAATTTTCATTATAAATAACATACTTTCTCTTACGAAAACCTTTATTGTCATAATTAAATGGTCACTAAAAATCTTAATTCTTATAATGTTGTTACATAAGGTGACATTTTAATCTCCATAAGTCGAATGAATAAGCAGATTTTAGAAAGTTTAAGTTAGCATATATATACATCATTTTCTCGTTCAATTCCCATCTTGCCTTCCTCTGCCTCTGGATCATGTATTGCTCGAGCCATTTCTTTTTAAATTATTATTTGAACTCCAATGCATTCACGAAATGGACTCCCTGATGGAGTTTCAAACGTATATCTATGGAAATTAGATGAGAAAAAAAGGTTTATGACAGTGGCAAATACCAATCCTAATTTGCCAGGAGAAAACTAAAGTTAGACTGTGGGGTAAGCTAATTGGACCAAAGAAGATGTTGATGTATGACTTTCCGGCCTTATAGTCAGGTTTATGATCGGAATGGAGCACTTTCCCAGTCATCATCTTGTCAACTTTAACCTCTGAAATTCAACCGCCTTTCCATTTAACTAATAAAAAAAGGCAAACAAAACGAATGGTGATGTAATCCACGTTGAATTTGTAATATAAAATTTCGTCTTAAATTGTATTATTACTTTTTATATTACATGCAAATGGTGAATTTAGTTCTTATGCATTAATTTAATCATAGTTAATTATTTGATATATTCATGTATATTTAATTATTATAATAAGAAATTAAAATTTCTTTTGAAAAATAGTGAATTAATTAATAAAAATGAATAAAAGTACTTTAATTTTGTTAACCCTCATATAAACAATTGGTTTATTATCCTTCCGGAGCTAATCTATATTTCTTCTTCTTTCCCACTCTTATTATGTCTAATTAAATCCTCTTATCCCCGCATTTTTATTAAGAAAACTCCAAAAATTCATTTATTAGACAAATAATCTCAAACATCATTCATTGGAAAAGTACCTCTAAACTGCACACACTAGACTACCTTGCATTCTACAGAACGCGTGTAAAAACCTTATGTTCTATAAGGCGCGACACTCCTCCAACGTAGAAATACTTTTCAGATAATACAATTTAATATTATATTAAACAATGTGGTTTTTGGCAAGGTTTTAAAAGGAATGGGCGTCGTCTGATCTATCGAGCATGTTGCTACCGAGGATGGTGATTACCCCACTCTAGATGTTATAATTGAAGATTGCGGTGAAATTCACAAGGAGACAGATGATGGGGTATCCAACT